ATTGCAATTTTCGGAGCGCCGCCCTATCCGCGGTTTCGCGGCGAAGCCAAATAGCAACACCGAACCACCAGGATGATTAACAACTTGATCAAACATGTATCATGGACCCTACTGCAGAGGCTATTTTCGGTGCGCTGGCCTATCCGCGGCTTGGCGACGAAACCAAGCATCAACACCGGCTGGTGCCGGAAAAATCGCCGGTGCCTGTGCTGGCGTCGGTGCTAGTATAAGGCAGTGGCGCCTGGTGCCGGTTTAGGCGCAAGCGTTAATGCTGGCGTCGGTGCTGTCGTCGGCGTTGGTGCAAGCGGTGGCGTGCGTGCCGGCGCCGTCGCGCGCGTAGATGCCGGCGTTGCTACTGGCGTCGGCGCCGTCATAGGCGCCGGCATTGGCGTTGGGGCTGGCGCCAGTGTTGGAGTCGGCGGCGGAGTTGATGCTGGCGTAAGCGTCAGCGTTGGTGCTGCTAGCGTCGGTGCTGGCGTCGGTGCCGGCGGCGCTGGCGTTGGCGCCGGTGTAGTCTCACGCGCGAGCGCTGGTGCCAGCGGCCGCGGCGAGCGAGATCGGAACTGGAGGAAGAGCACATCGACCTAGCACAACGTGTAGACCTCGATCTGGAAGTGGGCGCGGCGATCGGAGTTCGACGTGGGTCATGAGAAGAAAAGAAGAAAAAGAGGAGGAAGAAGAAGAAGAATAATAACCAAAAGGAGACACAACGGGGGCCGAAAACGTAGTGAATGTCTAGAAAGGGCGCATGCGCGCGCGGCGCGCGTGATAACGACAGCGGCGGCGGCGGGAAGGGGCCCGTGGCTCACGCCAAGACGGCCCCCCAGGAGCAACAGCACCAAAACCACAGTGCTCGTCGAGCAACCGCGTGGCCCTGGGCGAGCTCACGGACGGACTTCCGCAGCGCCTCATAAGCTGACTCCCCCGCGCCCACCCGATTGTGCCGAACAAGGTTGTGCACTCTGGACACTGCGCGCAGCAACTGTCCGAAATGCTTTCCGGGCCATGGGGCGGCGCACATCGCGTGCGATTACATATCCAACAGCAGAAAACATGACCAGCATTCTGGTCGTGTGCCAGGGCGGCGCAGCCCGAGCAGCAGCGAAGCGCCATACTGCTGGACATGCGGCGCAATGCTCGATGGCATCTGACGCCGAATGGCTGCACAAGACGCGCCGACTGGGGACGCGTCCTCCGCTGGGAATCGATGGAAGGTCATCCAGGCTTCCCACTGGGTGCGCCATGCAGCCCTGCAGCCGCCAGCGCCAGGGGCAGGACGAAAGGCGCTGGCAACGCTGTGCGCGGATGCTCGGGCATTCCGCGACAGCCCACCTGTCCAGCTTATGCCGGGCCCGGACTTCCAATCGTGCGCAGCTGCTCAGTGGCAGCGCCGCCGCCGCCGCCCGCTGAAAACAGCGACGAACTGCAACTGCTGTACTGTGCCGGTGGGGGCGTGGCCCGTCTGGGTGCATCTGCTTGTCGAAATCATCTGGTCGTGCCCCGGGCCTCTCGTTATGCGCTGCGGATTCGTCCAGCTGAAATACCAGTGCCCGTCGGAACCAAGCGAGCAACGCTGCTAACCGACCAGGGTGCTCCGTGGCAGATGTCGACTGTCCCAGCTGCTACGCCCTCCCCCGAGCTGCTGAGCCCCCTCGGCGGCGGCCTCGCAGTGCGCCGCCCTGCTAGGGAGCCCACAAGGGATGTACGCGCCCAGCCATGTACGTGAACACGGCCCCTCGATTCGCGAGACCGGCCGCGTGATACGAACATTTGTGCAGTGCGTGCTCTCGAAACCAGCGTGGATTCAGGTACACAAGGGCTCCCAGCTTCGCGCTTCGCGCTCCGCGAAGCGCGAAGCGCGAATAACTTCGCGCTCTCGCGCCGCCCTCCCAAAGGGAGAGAAGAGGAGGACGAGGAGGAGGGGGAGAAGGAACGAGGACCGCGAAGCGCGAAGCGCGAATAACTTCGCGCCCTCGAGGGAGCCCTTGGATGTAGTACATGTACGTCCTTCTTTCGCTCCTGACCTGCGGCGGGTCGCCAAGGAGAGAGCCGTGCAGCAATCGGAGGTCGACCGCGGGGGCCCCGCGCGCTGCAAAGCTGTGAAGGCTTCTTTGGGATGGGCCGGGCGCCGGGGCCCGAAGAAAGCGGGAGCGCAGGGCAGCCTCCTCGGATGGCTCCCGCGCGTCGAGGAGCGCGTCTGCTTACAGCAGGAGAGTGACCACTCTGGACGCCCGAAATGGGCACGGAAAGAATGGGGTACAATGCCCAAGAACAAACGATGTCCCAAGCCAACAGCGGCCGCTGTTGGGCAGGCGGCCTTCTGTCTCAAATGGACACAGGCCGCGGCGGCGTGGACAGCGAGTCCTGTTCAAAACGAACAAGATCCACTGTTGGGCATCGTACCCATTCTTTCCGTGCCCATCTCGTTCGTGCAGAACCACGGGCACTGCGTACACCGTGCAGGCGAGCGTGGTGAAGGAAACGCCGCCTCCCGCTGCGCCCCAGGTCTCGAGCGCGCGTGGAGACTCGCACCACGGGCTTGTCAAGCGCGCGCTGCCCACGGTCTGGGCCGAGAACGAAGTCCAAGTACTTGGCGAACCCTGCCGCACGGATCCCTGCCCACGGTGGGGAAACTCGTCGCAGGCGATGCTGCCGCCACCGACAGACCGCAAGGGTGCAACAACACTGCTACTGCCGTCGGGTACGCTCAGAGAAATCCGGGAGAACCCTTCGAAGATCTGCACCAGCATGGGGAACGAGGCAAGGCCGGAGGAGAGCACCGCGGCAATTCCCTGGCCCAGCGGGCCAGAGGCGTGGCAAGACGTCCAGCTACTGGCGAATAACATATTTCCACCCTATAGTGCACGATGCGCTGTCATCTCGTCCGGGTCCGTCACGATCTCGCCGCGCGCGTTCATCACTGCAGGAACGGCCGTGGGCTTGCACGGGGAGAGTCGCCGAAGAGCCTGCATGAGGCGGTCCCGAGTGTGGCCGCGCTCTGAAGCCTCGGCGGTCTCGCCGCGCAACTCGGACAGCTGACCAATTCTGACTCGCGGGCCAGGTCCACGGCATGCTGCCGGTACCCGCCAAGTCCAGCCCCACCCAAGTGTAGTAGCCCCATGAGGTCGGCCACCAGAGTACGTGACTGCCCTGGATCTCCAAAACTGCAGTGCCAACAACTAGTGAACTGCATAAAGCATGCAATGCAACATACTAAGAAATGCAAACAACAATTGTGTGTGTTGGCAGTTGTCGCCGACCTGTGCGCTTCAACTCGCCCTGAACCTCCCAGAGCGACGCTCGACTCGAAGGCTAGGTTTAAGCTCTACCAGCTCGAGCTCTAGCAGCGCCACTACAGCGCAAAAAAACTGAGGTGCAAAAAAAGCTGAAAGGCAAATAGAAAGTGCAATGCAACACAACTGTTGTTTGATCATCGTCGCCGACATGTGCGCTTCAACACTCCCTGAACCTCCGCAAACCATGCCCTGCTCGCACGCGGAATTCTACGCTCAAGCTCTAGCAGCGACACTACACTGCAAACAATCCCAGCAAAGCAGAAACAACAGCAATGCATAAATAAATGCACCGCAACAAACAACTGTTGGTTGGTGGTCGTCGCCGACATGTGCGCTTCAACCATCCCCAGACCTCCTCAACCACTCTCGGCTCGCACGCGGAATACGAAGTTCAAGCACCAGCATCGAACACAAACTGCACTGCGGAAAAACTTCCACGCAAAAGCAACATGCAGTGTTATACGAACTAGGTTTTGGTGGTCGTCGCCGACATGTGCGCTTCAACCCTCCCTGTACCTCCAAGAGCCACGCTCAACTCGCACGCGGAATCCTAAGCTCAAGCTCTAGCAGCGAAGCAGCGCAACTCCGAAGCAGCTCTAGATTAGTTAAGTCTTAAGCTTCAAGCGTGCTCGTTTCAAGCTTGGCGCCCCGCAGTGCGCTACACGGTTCCGAACTTTATTAGAGCATGGAGCCGATGTATTGAGCACAGCGGTCTCAGCCAAATATGTTCTAAAAACAAATCGGGCAAGCCTCAAAAGGTTCGTAGAACATTCTTTGGTAGGCCTATATGCCGGCAGGGACGCCTCGTCACTGCTTAACTAGGGAAAATCATGCGAGCGAAGAAATGAAATAGGTCTTACGCGCGATGGCATAGCGACTCTGCGCAGAGACTTACGCGACCCGCCAGCCTGGCACACCACAAAGAGAAGAGAGGGCGCATCTGCGCGACCTCACGCGGAAAGCGTAACCGCCAAGGTCCGCGCAATGGGAATCGATGTTTCTACGTCGCCCAGGTGCGGCTGGGTAACTTCGGGGATCTTCTGACCCGGGTCAATCCAGACCCGGGTTAGTCAGGCCTTGCAGAATCCTGCAAGATCCTGCAAGAGTCTGCACCCAAACCCGGGTCAATGCGAAGGACCCTGCAAGATCCTGCAGGATCCTGCACCCAAGCCCGGGTCAATGCGACCCTGGCCCTGCAGGATCCTGCAGGACCCCGTGCCCTGGCTGACCCCCGCCTGCATTGACCCCCGTCTCTTAGGCTGGGCTCAACTCACTACTCGGCTGGTTCGGACCGGCTCCGCTGAGACGGGGTGAGGGTTGACGAACGATCAACACGCACCCATACCCATATGGGGGGACGGAATGAGCTGTGGGTGCGTGCCGTCGGATGGGGGTCCCCGCTCGAACGGGAGCCTTCCCAGGGGCCCGACCACCCGCACCCATACCCATACCCATAGCCAGTCCTTCTCCCTACGACCTCCCTACGGCAGGTTCGTGTCGTGTCGACCCCGGCGTTGGTTTTTGACACGGCGGGAATTGTTCAACCTTGAACGATCGGCCGTTTCCGAAACGCCACATCGTTGAACATCGATCGATTCTGGGTCGCCGTCGGCGTTCAAAGTTGAACTCCGGCGGCGGGGTCGCCGCTGGTCGACACGACACGAACCTACCGTATGGGTATGGGTGTGTGCTGTTCGTTCGTCCAGGGTCGGGCTGGCAGGCCACGCCCGGCCACTAGCGCCCGCCGTCCGAGCCGGAGCACTCCACCTGCGGTGGGAGCGAGGCGGCGGGCGCGGGCCGGCGCCGGGGCAGGCAGCGGAAGGTGCGGCGGACCGACGACGGGGCTCCGCGGCAAACATGCCACACTCTCTCTCTCCCTCTGTCTCTCCCTCTCTCTTTCTATCTGTCTCTCTCTCTCTCTCTATCTGTATCTTTCTCTCTCTCTCTCTCTATCTGTCTCTCCCTCTCTCTCGCCCCTTCTGCCGTCCCCAGCCTCTCCGCATCTGCGGGTCCCTCCACCCCCGGTGTACCACTGAGGACCCCTCCCTCGGCTCCACCACCCCTCTCTCTCTCACTCTTTGTCTCTCTCTCTCTCTCTCTCTCTACATCTCTCTGTCTCTCTGTCTCTCTCTCTCTCTCTCTCTCTACATCTCTCTCTCTCTCTCTCTCTCTCTCTCCCTCTCTCTCTGCGTGTGTATATATCAGGGTGAGGGGCCGAACGATCATTCATTGTCCCTAGGAGCGTGGCTGAAGTGGGGCTCCGCGGTGCGGATTGCTGTTGCGTGGTTGCGTTGTTGTTGTCGTCGTCCTCGCCCGCGACCCACCGCGTGATCCACCCGCGCTCCACAAACACTACTTTGAAAAACTATCCTGGCGAAGGACCCAACTATATGCAGTTGTGAGTACCGTCCTTGCGGGTACCGCCTTCGGGGGATCTCCTCATGGGGCCATGAAACATGCGAAGGGTGTGCCGATGTGGGGCGGGGCCGCCATGTGGGCGCTGCCACTGGTGCTTTAGGCGGAAAGCACTACGGGGCAGCGAAGAGTGTGACGCATGCAGGCGGTGGCACTGGGGCCTTCGATGGAGCTCCCTATAGGGTCACGAAACGTGCGAGGGGTGTGCCGAAATGGGTGGGGTGGTGCCATGCGAAAGCTGGCATTTGGGCCTTGGGTGTGCCAAAATGGCTGTGGTGACCGCATGCAAGCGCTGGCATGTGGACCTTCGGTAGGGCTTCCTGTGGAGTCAGGAAACGTGTGAGGGGTGTGCCGAAATGGGTGCGGTGACCGCATGCGAACGCTGGCATTTGGGCCGCCGGTGGGGCTTCCTATGGGGCCACGGAACGTGTGCGGGGTGTGCCAAAATGGGTGCTGTGACCGCATGCGAACGCCCTTCGGTGGGGCTTCCTATGGGGCCACGGAACGTGTGAGGGGTGTGCCAAATGGGTGCAGTGACCGCGTGCGAACGCAGCTCATGTGGCCTTCGACGGAGATCCCTATGGGGCCACGAAACGGTGAGGGGTGTTCCGAAGTGGGTGCGGTGGCGCCGTGCAAACGCAGCCATTCGGGCCTTCGGTGGAGCTTCCTATGAGGCCACGAAGAGTGTGAGGCGTGTGCCGAACTGGGCACGGTGATGCCATGCGAACGCAGCCACGTGGGCCATCGGTGGAGCTCCCCATGGGGCCACGAAGAGTATGAGGGTGTGCCGAAATGACTACGGTGGTGCCATGCGAACGCAGCCACTTGGGTCTTTGGTGGAGCTCCCTATGGGGCCACGAACCGTGTGAGGGGTGTGCCGAAATGGGCATGCGGAGGTCAGAGGCTCAGAGGCACGCAGGGGGAGGAGGAAGGAGGAAGGGGGAGAGGAGACGCGGGGAGCTAGCTGTCTCTTCAAAACGAGGACCCAACACAGGATAGTTGGGACAAATTGGCGCCTGCGGCGGGCTTCTTCAGCACCTCGCGGACAGCTGACGTGCCCCGCCCATCTGTCTGATCTGCAACTGCGGGATGCCACGTATCCACTAGAAAAGCACGTACATCTATACAAACAACGATTAGAACCATCACACGCGCTTCGCGCGCGGCAAGTTCTAGCTAGGCTGGATGGTCGAACTCTCGGGGACATCTACTTTACGATACTTCCACTCCAGGAAGCACGAAGAAGGCCCAAGCGGCTTCCAAGGCTGCCTACGATCCACCCAAGGGGGTCTAAGACAGGCCCAAGAGGCACTTCGGGTGCCCTTCTCTTCGCCGTGGCTGGACGTGCCGGAGGGAGAGGGAGGCCAAGGGGAGGTGCATGGGGTTCCCTTGGGGAAAAGGGGGAAGAGGAGGAGGAGGAGGCCGCAGAGGAGGAGGAGAAACAGACGAAAGAGGAGGAAGAGGAGGAGGAGGAACCATGATATGTTCTTTTTGCAAGTGTAGCCAAGCTGCCAGGCGAACTTCGAAACAGGAAAAGCTGCAATTCTTTTTTGTCTCAAGTGCCCTCAGGGCCTCTGTTGGGGCTCTGTTTGGGCCTCTTTGGGGCTTCTTGGGGACCCACTTTTTGGGCTTCTTGAGGCTCTGTTGAGGCTTCTTGGGGCTCTTGGGGCTCTTTGGGGCCTCCTTGGGGCTTCTTGGGGCTATTTTGGGGCTTCTTTTGGGCCTCTTTGGGGCCCTTTTGGGCCTCTTTGGGGCTTTTGTGGGCCTCTTTGGGGCTTCTTGGGGACCTCTTTGAGGCCCTCTGGGGGTCTCCTTTGGGCGAACGTCTCGGGTCTTCGGCTCGCGTTCCCGATCCCGGGCCACGGTTGTGGCCCTCTCGGGCCGTCAGGAGGGGGAGGAGGAGGAGGAGGAGGAGGAGGAGGAGGAGGAGGAGGAGGAGGAGGAGGAGGAGGAGGAGGAGGAGGAGGAGGAGGAGAGAGGAAGAGAGGAGGGGGAGGAGGAGGAGGAAGTGAGGAGGAGGAGGAGGAGGAGGAGGAGGAGGAGGAGGAGGAGGACGTCTCTTCGGCCGTTCTGGAGCCATCTTGGTGCGCTTTTGAAGCCTTTGGGCCGTGTTGGGGCGATCCTCGGGGCCTCTTTGGGCGTCTTGCAGCGTCGGGAAGCGGAACAGGCGGAAACGCCAACATTGATCAAACACCTTAGGGATCTCAATGTTTGTTGGCCTCTTCGAGCTCTTTTGGGAGAGCTCTTCGAGGCCTCTTGGGTATCTTGGGGGCCTCTTCGGCCGTCTGGAGGCCGTCTTGGGCGTCTTGGCCGTCTAGTGACCTTCGGCCCATCCCGCCACCATGCCTGGGTAGTGGGTTAAAGGCTTCCTGGAAGTTCGTTTGAATATCGCGGGAGGCCTCCCGGGGGCCCCTTGCAGGCAATGTTGGAAGTCTCTTGGGGACCGTTGGGGGGCCTCTTGGGGCTTCTTATCGGGCCTCTCGGGGGTCTCCAGAGAGCCTCTTGGGCTCTCGTTGGAGCCTCTTGGGGCCTCCAGGGAGCCTCTTGGGGCGGAAGGCTCGAATTGTCGGTTCGTGTTCCCCCTCTTGGGCCCCTCTAGGGGCCCTCTTAGGCGATCTCGGGCGCCTCTTGGGCCGTTTTGAGGCCCTCTTGGGCCGTCTTGGGGCCCTCTTGGGCCGTCTTGGGGCGGTCTTGGAGGCCTCTGGGGCCATCTTGGAGCGTCGGAAGCCCAGAACGCGAGAACGCGAAGAACATACAAACAAACAAGGACAACCATTGATGCTTGCCCCTTGGGACCCTCTTGGGGGTCCTCTTGGAGCGCTCTTGGGGCTCCTTTGGAGCATCTTGGGCCGTCTTGGGGCCATCTTGGGCGTCTTGGAGCGATATTTGGCCGTCTCGGGGCCCTCTTGGAGCATCTTGGGGGCCTCCAGGAGCCGTATGTGAGGCCTCTTGGGCCGCCTTGGACCCCGCGAGGCCCCGGGGAGGGGGTAGCAAAACGCTTGCTTCGGTGTGGGCATCCCCAGGCCAGCGGGAGGGTCGACTGCCAATACTAACACAGAATAACAATAAGAATCGCCAGGAGAAGAAGTCGTATCATTATTATGAATATTATCGTGGTTCGAACGGTATGTATATTATCCCAGTGCGACCCTACCTAGGAGTTGGAACCCCTAGGAAAGCAGCATTAGTAGTAACAGTAACGCTAAGCTAAAGCTAAGCTAAAGCTAAGCTAAAGCTAAGCTAAAGCTAAGCTAAAGCTAAGCTAAAGCTAAGCCACAGCTAAGCTAAAGCTAAGCTAAAGCTAAGCTAAAGCTGAGCTAAAGCTAAGCTAAAGCTAAGCTAAACCTGAGCTAAAGCTAAGCTAAAGCTAAGATGCAGCTAAGCTAAAGCTAAGCTAAAGCTAAGCTAAAGCTAAGCTACAGCTAAGCTACAGCTAAGCTAAAGCTAAACTAAAGCTAAGCTAAAGCTAAGCTAAACGCTAAGCGAACAGCTAAGCGAAACGCTAAGCTAAAGCTAAGCTACAGCCAAGCTAAAGCTAAGCTAAAGCTAAAGCTAAAGCTCCCAGGGGACTGGGGGGAACTGCTACCAGGGGACCGGGGGAACCGTCCGGGGCGCTTTCCATTGCCCGGCCCCTTTAAGCTAAGAGAGTAAGAACCCTTCTAGGCAGAGCCTAGGTAGGGAATACATGTAAGATGTTAAAGCATACTACTATTATGGTTATAGTTGAAAAAGCGAGCATCACTATCAATAGTACTAGTTAACTGCTCGGATCAGTATCACGAACACAAATATTACTATATGTAAATATGTATCGTCCTCCACATCTACCTCCCCTTCTCGCATCTACCCTGCCATGCTCAGACTGACCTGCAAGATCGGCAGCAAGCTGTCTGATATCAACCCCGTGCAAATCGAACAAACGCGTTGACCAAAAATGGTAGCGATCGCCGCGCATCACACAGGTCGACGCACGACAGGACGCCATGGAAAGCCCACCTTGAAGTGGAAGGCCGTCTCGGGGATGCCGCGCCCGCTGCCTGGGGACACAGCCACTCTCAAAGAGTGGAGACTGAGGCGCCACGGCCCTGTGGGAGGTTGAGAGGGCCGACGCCCACGCTTCGCACTGCCCCTCCCCCCCTGTCGGGGGCGGCCAAGCGGGGGGGGTCCAAGAGGGGGGGGTGCAAATCATGGCCAGCGGCATGTGCGCGGCCCAAGGGGAAGGCCAGGGACGTAATGAAATAAGAAGAGGCGCCATGAAATCTGAGGAAAAATCACGGCCCGCGCCATGAAATCCCCCCCCCCTAGTCATCACCCCCCTCTTTGCCGGCCCCCGACCCTGGGCTTGCGCCCCAGCTCCTCACTCGCTGCCGTGCGCACCAATCCGCGCACAGAGAGAAGAGCGCCCGACCCGCCTCGACTTAAGTCGGGCGTGTCCCCCTACAGGGGGATTTGCGACGAAACATAACAAATAGCCCAACAATGCCCCAGAATGGCCAACAAATGCCCGAAACATAGTCCCCATATTATTTTCTGACCATTTTTGACCATTGAATATTCCTCCTGTGGAGGGACACGCCCGACTTAAGCCTCGACCCTCCCTGCACAACCGAAGGGGCCCTGGGACATACAAATAGATACGCACAAGTAAAAATGTTCCCAGTATTCTCCCATATTTTATGGGCTCCTGCCCTCCCCCCCACTTCCCACATTTGCATACATTTTCTGGGGGATCGACGATTCATTGTGTCTGTGTGTGTGTTTTTTCCCCTCCTGCATATGACTGCGGCCGCCGGGCACGACGCCTGCCCTGGGCGTGTCCCCCGGGCGCCGCGCGCCCCGCGCCCTGCACGGAGAGGCGACCGCACACCGCGGAGCCACCAGGCCCTGAGCGTCTCGGAGCTCCCTGGGCATCCGGCGCTCCTCGGGAGCGGCCAAGAGGGGGGTGTCCAAAGAGGGGTGGGTGCAAGTCATTACCGGCGGCACGTGCGCGGCCCAGCGGGGAGGCCAGGGTCGCAATGAAAGAAGAAGAGGCGGCACGACATCCGGGGAAATATCATGGCCCCCGACATGATATCCCCCCCTAGTCATAACCCCCCTCTTTTCCGCCCCCGGATCCCGTTCTTGCTTGGGGACGGCTCGAAGCAGGACAACTCCGCACAACTGTTGATTCCCAAGCTTGGCACGCGGTTCTTGGATGCACGATTCCCCGCCGGTGCTGATAAGACACAAGGTAAATGTTGTCTAGCTTGTGATGTGCTTGATTGCTGCTTCGATCTGGTAGGGGCCTGGACGAATGAGAGGAGCATGGTGAGGAGAGAAGGCGAAGACAGGGCAGTGGGGACGACAGGATTGACGCATGTCAAAACAGCAATGTGGAAGCGTGGAAGTCTCCCGTCCTCCTCCTGCTATTCTCCTTCCCCACCCTCCCCCGTCGCTCTCGTCCCCCCTCGTCCTCCTCGTACTCTCCCTCGTCGTCCTTGCTGTCGTGCTCATCATCCCCCTGATGACGCCGACGGCAGGACAAAAGGAACATCGGGCGAAGACAAACGGCCTCTCCGAGATCCCGCGGGTCGGGAAGATATATCGGGCGCCTCCGGGCGCTCCGCCCATCCAAATGCGCTCCGGAACGCTCTGCGAGCGTTCGGGGACGGTCCAGCATGTTGGCGTCGGGCTGCTCAGGCTGACGTGCGGGGGCTGGGGACTGAGCAGCTTGAGGATGAGGTTCAGCAGGAGGAGCAGCAGCAGCAGCACTGACCGCAGCAGCCTGTGACGCCGTCTTGCTCGCCGCAGTGTGGGCGCCCCGTTGGGTGATGAGGTTGTCGGAGTCGGTGAGCACCTCTCCCAGCCAAGCGCCGCGGGCTGCGCGCGAAGGGCGGCGGTGGGGTCACCTTGGGGTTGAGATTGAGGTTGGACCGCGCGAACTCCTCCACCAGTTTCGCCGTTGTCGCCGTCCCTACTGCCGAGCTGGGTGAAGGCCTCAACTGCACTCTTAGCTGTTTCCTGCTCCTGAAACTGAAGATTAGAATGCTCTTCCAGAAGCTTGCGCACATGTAGCACGTGTTGCGCGAGCAGCTGGCGCGCCTTCTCTAAGGCATTCGCAGCCTTCTAGACCTTGGCCTTGAGCTGATTATGCTCCCGATTCGCCTGCTTGAAAACAGCCAGCAGACGAGAACGCTGCTTGGCCAATCAAACTGGCGACAGCGGCGAACTGGTCGTCGTCCATGGAAAAGAAGGCCTGCTGTTGAGCACCATCCAGCTTTTCAACAGCACCAGCAACATGACCTACAGGGCCACACGCCCATGCCTTAGGTGGGGGCTCGGGCTCCTTGTCGGCGGGCATGGGTGGCTTGGGCGCGTCACAGCAGTAGTAGGTCTTGCGCCAGGTGAAGTTGTTCGCGAAGTTGCAGCGCTCGATGCTGGCGGGAGACATGGTGCGGTCCTCGCGAGCGGAACGGGGGCTCAATTGAGAGCAGGAAAGAGTCCCCGACAGGGGTGTGAAGCAATGTGTCTGGGCGCCCACTTGCTGGCGGTCGCACGCAGCGGAGGTCAAGCATGGAGGCCCCCGCGACACGGGGTGTCAAACTTAGGCCAACATGGCTTTACGGACCTCCTCCACCTCCTCCTCCTGCGCCTCCTCTTCTTCCTTTCGAGCCTTTCGAGCACGGCCCCAAGTCGCTCCCGCGACGCGGCCGATGTCCTCTTCTTCCTCCTCTTCCTCCTCCTCCTCCTTGTCCGCCGCACCCGTGCCGCTGTGCCCCTGGGCTGCCGAAGGCAGCGGCGGCGGCCACGGCGGTCGCGGATGCCTGGCCCGCGGGCGCGCAACGCCTCCAGCCCGTCCAAGGCGTCGAGCACTGCCTCCTGGGCGCAGGCCAGGACGTGCTCCTCGGGGTGGCGCCAAGCTTCGCCGCCGACCACTGGAGAGGATCAAGTGAGGGGGAGAATGTCTACAGGAATCGTTGAGTTTTCTGTGCCAGTTCGGGCCGTTTGCAGACGCTTCGGACTGCTCGAGGCAAGTTTCGGACTCCTCTTCGGCTATTGGGCGCAGACCAGGACGCATGCGAATCCGACCAGCAGTCGCATGTGAATTCTACTCCTGCAGGTCAGATTTCTGAAACGCCAGCTGGAGTTCAGAATTCGAGGGGCGCCTGCAGCCAAAGAAACCCATCGGGTTCGCAAGTGGTCGCAGAGCCAAGCTTTGCCGCCGTCCAATGAAGGGTCAAGCGAGGGGTGGATGTATCTAGATGTATTCGGACTGCTATTGACAAAATTAGGCCTTTCTACGGGCCACGGACAGTACTTACGAACCAACATCCAATCGCGAAGCCGGATCGGAATCGGAATCGCGTCGAATGTTTAGGAATCGATGCTCAAATCAGCGATCGCCGCATCGGCTCGGAATTCGGAAACTGCAAACCGGATCGGAATCGAATCGGAACAGTTGGTTTCGAATCGGATGGGAATCGAATCGGAATCGAAGCGACCCAGCGCAGGGAGAGCGACAGATGCCTCGGGCAACGGATCGCGGTGGACGACAACGACGACGCTGCCCAGGGTTTTCCTGGGAGCCTGTTTTTTTGGATTCAGGCAAGTTTACTTGCATGGCGTTCGCCCCCCCCCCCCCCCCCGCCCCTCTTCAAGCGAATACTAGCGTGCAAGTGCCTTTCGACTTGCGTGATTTCCGCGCCCCCCACCCCCCCGGCTTGCTTCAGGCTCAGCCCCACCCCCCCCCGTCCATGCAAGTAAACTTGCCAGAGTCTAAAAAAAAACAGGCTCTGGGCGGCCTCCTGGGCGCCCCCGGCGGGCGTCCCCGCTCGTCCCCGGTCGGGTGTCCCCCGGGCGCCCCGGGCTTCCCCCAGCGACTAGGGCGCTGTCCTCGGGCGACAGCGTGCCCCCCGGGCGCCCCCGGGCGTCCCCGGGCAGGTGTCCCCGGGCAGGTGTGCCCGGGCGTCCCGGGCAGGGCGTCCCGCGGCGTCCTGGGCGCAGCGTCCCCGGGGGCAGCCTTGCGATCTGGGAGCTGTCATGGCATGACACGTATACCCCCCTCCCTCATCTTCATCCAACCTCCTCCCCCCTCGTCCGTGGCGGGAGGGGAGGAAGGAGCAGAGAGGAGGTAAGGAGGAGGCAGGAGGTGTTCTAGGGATCAACTTCGATGGGGTGTGCCGAGGGCTCAAGATGAGATGGAAAGAGGAGGAGGAGGAGGAGGAGGAGGAGGATGAGGATGAGGAGGAGGAGGAGGAGGAGGAGTAGGAGGAGGGAGGAGTCATCCCCCCCTTCTTGGCCGCCCCCGAGTACATCGAGAGGGGGGCGAAGGCCACCAGGAACCGCCGGGAAGCACCACGGCTGTGAGCCAGAGCGGGATGCCAACGCCGCTGGGCGTTTGAGGCAAAGGGGAAGCCGCTCAAGTCGAGTGCTGATTCCGATGCGGGTTGAACGTCATGCCGCCTCCATGCCGTCGCTTGGAAATAACAATGGGCTTAGGATCCGGGGTGCAGCGGTCGTATCGCCTTTGTCGCACGCTCGGGCTCGCTACACACCGCGGTCACTCTGCGCTGGAATTCGCGCATGCCTTCGGGTAGTTGGCAGCTGGCCAAGTGGTATTCGCATTGTGTGGGAGTTCAAGCGTCGCCATGGCCGGAGGACGTGAAGTTTCTTCAGAGATGCACGAAAAACCTCAGCGCCGAATCAGCCACGTGCTCACCGCGTGTAGCAATTCACGCATCAGCGTCGCCCCGTGCGAATCGGACGGCAGCCGCCCTGTGCTCCCCTCCTCGACCAACTTATGTAGGGCCTCTCTCCGAATTTGCGGCTTCCATGACCAGAGGCACGCAAGCCTCAATGAAGAAGAACGGTGGCGCATCAAGGCACGGTGGAGTCGAACTCGGGGGCGCGCCCAGAGGAAAAGGGGGGCGGACTGGACCACCTCGAGTCTGCGTGGTGGACGCGTCGGAACGGGCCGGGGTCCGTCAGTTCGCTCGAACTGCCCACTGAGCTCTCTAGTTGTTGTCCACATCGCAAGATCCACAAAGCATCCTCTGAACGCTCCTCCTACCCATCTCATCCCCGACCTTATGGTATCGAGTGCTTGCGCGCGCCCGTACAGCCGCACTTGACACTCGCACTGTATTCTGTCGGCCTGGGCAGCCGAGATCGAGACTATGCTCGTGCGAGTTGTCTTACTGTATATCTGACTCCCACCTGTCGCTCACCAAGTCGTCTCCGCAGGGTGGGGCGGGCGTTTCGCCTGAGACTCCCTCTCCGTGCGTGATCCTGAAGTCTGACAGTTGCTTCAGATTCAGGGCGGGCTGTTCTCCACATGTGGTTCTCTCATGAGTGCCAGGTCCATTTGCAATTGCAGATCTGCAACAACGTCACGCACGGAGGGCGGATGATGTTGAAAGACATGTTCTCGCATTAGCTCCGCGCGCAGACGTCCGACAAGTTCGGAACAAGTGCAAATATGGAGTGCGGGTGGCTTTCAAACTGTGGCGCTCACCTCTGCGCCACGCGCATTTGCATTAAAAGTTCGCACCAGTTTCAAGGATGGAGGGCGAATGAGTTTTGAAACACACGCTCGCGCTGCAGCGCCAGGCACAATCCTCTGGAAGCTTTACAACAGTGTCAAAGATGGAGGGCGGGTGGTTTTGGAGCAAAAACTCTAACTTGAGCGCCGCACGCACTCGTCTGGAAAGTTTGGCACATCTCCATCGATGGAGGGTGGCTCCTATTCACAATGTGCCGTTCGCCTTAGCGCCGCGCGCAATCGTCTTTAAATTCTCCAGCAGATAAGGTACGCGTAGAGTTGAAGCCTCAGGAGTGATGCTCTGGCACGGCTTAACATCAGCAGGGCGCAACGGTCACGTATATTCGCTGTGCTGAAGTCCCCAGAACGGCTTTATGACATGACCTTGGATGGTGAGGGCGCCGCAGTCATGTTGATTCGCGGAGCGGTAGCTCCAGGAATTGTGGTGGCAAGATTGAGGATTCGATGAGGGTTGATTTTCAATGGAGTGATCCCCGCAATACAAACAAATATTGCAGGTATCTACGGGAAGGGAACGTGGAGGGAGGGTGTATGACATTGTTGATGCGCCCATCTTGGGTGCGCACTGATCTTCTCCTCCCCCTCCTCTTTCGTTTCCTCATCGTGCCAACTTTCATCGTCACCAGAAGCTTTACTGTCCTTCATGAAGAAGTGGCGTCTGTGCACACCGATCTGCACAAACCAGCCACCCTTGGCGCTCGCGCCGATGTCGACCTCAGCACACGCGATCGGGGCAAAGCTCCGCGTCCTGCTCTTTCTGCACACCTCCGTCTTTTTTCTGCGTCCTCCGATTTCGATCAGCATCCTGCCCCCGTCAATGATCCTCCTCCTCATCCTGGCCCTCCCCCTCTTCCATGGCAACCCCACTTCGATGGTGAGTGCCACAACCGATCGCGAATATCCAAATTCGGATCACCACCTGGCGAAGGCAACATGCACTGGTTGTTATATGTTCACAAGTTTGAGAAATCATCAAGTCCAGGCCATCCGTTGAACGTAGAGCACACGTTCCGCCTCCCTGTACTTCATTGCCGCTGTGATTTTGCAACATTTGCAAATCCGCCTAGCTTTAGGTCGGGCGTGCCCCCCTACAGGGGATTTTCGACGAAAAATAAAAATACTCCAAAATATTCCAAAATGGTCAAAAATATTCAAAGACTAGTCCCCACACTATTTTTTGTCTATTTTTGAAGATTCCTCCTGTAGAGGGACAAGCCCGACTTAAGCCGAGCTGCTTCAAGTTGAGTCCGCGACTTACATACCCAGACTGAGAGCAGTTAGGGTCCTTGTAACGCATTTTAAGAGCCTTGCAGCTGTTGCAACTGTTGCAGGTCGAATCGACTACTACAATGGTCTCTGCGCTCCTTCCGTTCTTTCCTCCTGCGCTCCCCTTCAGCACGATTCGCCCTCGTTAGCCGTCCCCCTGGGACTTGCAAGACGTAGAACTGTTGCCACCACCTGGTCAGCTAAAGACCCAGCAGAGCAGCACTCGAACGGATACCCAACCTCAGAACATCTGATGCCTCGATGTTTCCAACACGGGGTCCCAGGAAGTCCCGACACTGTTCCGAACGCCGCGTTTCATCCCGAGTCGTTTCTTGGAGGTCCCGTGGCCCAGCGAGGGCCCCAGGATGCAGAAAACATACAACAAGTGCATGTCGTGATTGTTTCGCGACGCGAGACGAGACATCGCTCGCGAGACCTCGCTCGCCTTCGCTGGCCGCGCAGATCTTGGCGGCGCGCACAAGGTGGGCAGGCTACTCTTTTCTCAGAAGGAGGCTGCTTCTGAGAAGGCGCCGGCCCTATACCTATAGACAAGGCCCGCACCTTCTGAGAAGCAACCTCCTTTTAACAAGCCTTCCCCCATCTCCCTACCCCCCTTCTGCGCGTGGCTGACGATCGCAGGTATGCCGCAAGCTCCTCGGACCCTGGAGAGGAGCCCGGCGGAGCGGCGCGGCAGAGGCGTGCCCGCACGAGGCCCTGCCCCCCCCCGCGCAAAGAACCCAAGCACGTTGCCACTTCCTGGCGCGCCGCGGCCACTCAGATGAGAACCATGGAAGCCAATACATTGAATCCCCGACAAGTACCATTGGACCAGTTCGGGCTGTAATCAGCCTGGGGTTCAGCCGGACCGAGCGGGATTTGAGCCAAGCTGCAATCAGCCTGAGATGAGTCCCGCTAAACCTAAACGGGATGAAACCCAGCTCAGCGGGATTAAGCCAGATCAGGCCAGTTTTCGACCAGGGAAAATTTAACCAGCGCCGATTCTGAATTAGACTTCCAGGAATTCCTTCCTGAGGCGAGGGGGCAGGTGCGGGTTCGAGGAGCAAAAAGTGGCGTACGGTTGGCGACGGCAAGATAGCGTGCAACATCGTCCTCCGAAAAGAGCGGTGTCCCTGTGATGCGATCCCCTTGCGAAGGCCCCTCCTGTCCACACCATCCCCGTGCCAGGGCCTCTTCGGCGCACGCTATCCCACGGTTGCGGATAGCGCGTGTAATTAGCGGGTCGGCGGCACCACATCACAAGCTATCTCTGCGACGCCAGCCGTAAGCATAAACTTTCGGAGATCCAGGCGGATTTCGCGGCCTGGCCACGCCTCCGGCGACGCCACCTGGACCCACCTGGCGACGCCTCCGGATTTCTCTGGACCCACCTGGCGACGCCTCCGGCGCCGCTCCCTGGCGCGCGGAGCGCGCCAGGGAGGGGGGGGGCATCGACGATCCTACCATCTACGCGGACCTGCGAACATGAATGTTTGTGAAGTTTCTATTCTTCGAACCTCCCTGGGCCCTGCCAAGCGTCTTGGGGCGGGATCTGCACGTCCTTTGGCAGTTTGGCCAGCTCGGCGTCACGCTGGGAACAAGACTGCCCAGAGTGGCACGCCCTCGTTGGCCCGACCAAAACTGTTCACCCGCGCGTTGCACGGTTGAAAAGGAGGAGGCATTTGGCATCTCGTCCTTCTCGGCAGCTCTTGCCCTTCCTGGCCTCGTGTGGCAGTCCGCTCGGCAACTCCCTGCCGAAGCGGCCGCAGGCGTGCCCCGCGTTGGCGGTCCCCGCTCGGGGAGCACGAAGGATCCCGAGAGAAGCAGCTGCCGGCCTGGATCAGCCCATCTCCGTCCACCCCGCTGCTTATCGGGGATGGACAGGCCCCCCTGTAGTAAAACGTGGTTTAGTGAAAACGACCTGGGGCCCAAACCTGGCGGGCGCAAGCCTGGAAAATAACGGCCGCGGCGCCCTCTCGAGAACCGAAAACGGACAATTCACTAATCGACGCGTCACTGCTGGGGGCTCCGTCCACCCCCGCTGCTCACCACAGCCAGGGAGCGGCCACGTGGGCTCCGGACGAGCACCTCGCGGACGGACCTGCTCGGTCGGAGCAAGTTCTTTCTATCAACCTGCACACGTCCAGTTGCCCATCGGTCGGAAGAAGTAGGCAGAAACATGGGGCAGGAAGGCGGGTAGAGTAGGTTGGCTTCGGGCCCGCCCAGAACTGACACAGCGCAGCAAGAGCAGATCGATTCTCCGAGCAGGAAGGCGCTTGAAGTAGCTTGGGTCCTGGGAATCCAGAAACACATACTTTCAACGACCGTTGGGTACTGTTGGCGGCGAAGCATTGCTCAACACGAAGCTCATCTCAATCTATGCTTGCAGCCAACTGCGCAGAGCGCTGACGCCATGGGGGGGAGGGCGCCTGCGCCTCCATCGCCGCGCCTCGACGTCCCACTGCGGAACCTCCTCGAGAGGCCGTCGCCACGCGTGGAGCCTCCCACGGCCTCGCAGAGCTTCGAGATCCCATCGCGCCACGTCTCCCCCCTCGTTCAGAAGCCTCGCGCGCCTCGCGGGGCCTCGATGGGGCCTTGCAGAGCGTCGCGGGGCCTCTTCGAGGCTTTTTGAGAGGGCTTGCACAGCAGCGACTGCCTCTCGATGCACCGCTGTGGACCTCCCGTAGGCGGAGGCCCCCTCGCTCCGGAGCCCCGTGGCTCCACGGAGGGGCGTTGAGCTGCCGAGGAGGCCCCACGGAGCCGCGAAGACACCCAGCAGGCCCCTGGAGCCCCTGGACGCTCCTCCTGGATGCCGCACCCCCTGGAAGGCGAAACCCGCCTCCATGCTGGGCCACGTGCCACCTTGGAGGCCAGAAGATTATCACCATCACCGAGGACGGGATCTGCTTACCTCGGTGGAGGCACACCGCCGATGTTGGTGTTGGTGTCAACCTCTAGGCCTGCGAATGAAACAAGACACCTAACACAACACATATCGCAGTGCAGTGTGCTGCACAGACGGAAGACCATACGGGAAACCATACGGGAGACAATACCTGAGACCATACTGGAGACCACGTCCCGCCGATTCCGGACCTGGCGAACTTTCCGTGCGGGATTCCGTACGTGAAACCACGCCGCGCCGACTCCCAGTCCGGCAGACCACTCACTCGCTTCTCAGAAGCATCATGTAGAACCCCTGCAGGCAAACAGTTTGGAGAACTCAGACACGCTCGCGAGAGCTAGTGCATCCTAGGACATGTTCGCGAGAGCAAATACGGTACGCCCCGTGAGGTGATGCCGCCTGTAAGGGAGACGCCGCCAGGCTGCAGAAGCAAGAGAGGGCAAAACGAGCGGAACGAATACGAGCCAAGCCCCATGCTTGGCGTCATCGTATTCCTCTTCCGCCTCCTCCACTTCCTCCGCCCCCTCCCCGTTTTCCTGCCCCTCATCCTGATCGTCCCTCTCGTGATCCTCCTCCCTCTCTTCTTGGCCCATCTGGCCCTCCGCCTGGTCTTCCTCCTCCTGCTACTCCCCCTCCTCCCTTACCTGCTCCAACACTTTTTGAACGTCATCATCGCCATCACCGGCATTACCACCGCCATCAACGCCATCACCATCACCACCACCACATTACCACGGTCACCACCACCACCACCACCATCATCCTCATCCTTATCGCCATCATCGTCGCCCTTGTCGTCATCATCCTCATCCCCCATCACCATCATCATAATACTCATCATTTTACTAATCAACATCATCCCCGCCCCCATTCACAGCTTCATCCTCATCCTCATGCTCATCCTCATCATCCAATCATCCTCCTCATCCTGATCATCCTTATCATCCTCGTCGTCGCCATCATCGTAAAATCATAATCATGGTCATCATCATCGTCACCACCACCATGAGCATCATCATAATCGTCGTCATCATCGCAATCCTCAACATCATCAGCATCACCATCATCAGCATCATCAGTATATTCGTCATCATCACCACCATCAGCATCATCACCATCATCGTCATCACATCACCACCACCATCATCAGTATCACCATCATCAGCACTGTAACCATTAGCATCACCACCATCATCACTTCCAGCGTCAGCATCATCATCATCACCATCACCATCATCACCATCACTACAATCATCATCATCATCATCATCATCATCATCATCATCATCATCATCACCATCACCAGCATCAGCATCATCATCATCATCATCATCATCATCACCATCACCATCACCATCATCACCAATCACCACCATCATCATCATCATCATCACCATCACCATCACCATCATCACCAATCACCACCATCATCATCATCATCATCATCATCATCATCATCAACATCATCATCATCATCATCATCAGCATCATCATCATCATCATCATCATCATCATCACTCCCATCACTGTCGCCACTTTCATCATCGCCACCACCACCACCACTCTCCTCTTCGCCATCCCGTCAATACCCCTCTCCTCCTCCGCCTCCTTCTCGATCGTCCTGCGCCGCCTCCTTCCCCTCCCTCTGCCCCTCTCCCCCCCGCCCCGGCCAGCAGCCATCACCCGCAGCCGCCACCAGCCTCTCCCCTCGTCCTCGTCCTCCCGGGCACCGGACAGGGCCCGCGACGGCCAGCACCTCTCTAATTAAGGCGCCCTGCCCCGCGTCCCTGCCCTGCCCCCCCCCTTCCCTGACCTTCCAGGAGGGCTAAAGAATAGCACGCGACTTAAAAACCTATCCCAGAGCGATTATGTGTCTTGGTTTTAGGCTGTTTCGTTTCGCTTTTTAGGTTTCTAGGCCTCCCGTGCTAAAAAATCGCTCTCTGGAAGGTCAGGGTTCTCCCCCCGTCGCCACCGGACGCCCGCAGGCGGCGACCCCCTCCCCCCCCCGACGGCCGAGGCGGACGCCCCTGCCACGAACACGTTCCTCCGCAAGGCCTCCTCGGAAGCGCGCCAGGCGCCGTCCGAGGCTGGCCCCGCGGGAGGCCGCCGAGCGCCGGCTGCGCACGCTGCAGCCGCCGCTGCCGCTGTTTGCTGCCGCCGCCGCCGCCGCGCCTGCCGCCGCCGCTGGTGTTGCTGCCGCGGCAGCTGGTGATGCGTCTCGTGCTGCTGCTGCTGCTGCTGCTGCTGCTGCTGCTGCTGCTGCTGCTGCTCGTCCAACGCACCGCTTCCGTTCAGGACGCTGAGGGCCCAAGGAGGGGGGGAGGGGGGGCAACCCCGATACCAGTACGTGCCAATCCTGGCGAACAAGACCAAACTAAAACTAACTCTACTATCCAATCCCAACGAACCGACTCGATCAGGGCTGCATTCATGGACTTCACCCTCAAGCATTAATACCACCTCCTTACCCCTAATCCTCAAAACCAAACACCAACCACAAACACCAAACCCGCATCGCCATATGCCAACGCCGAACCACCAACCGCCAAACTAAGAGGCGTCTGAAAGGCTTCCAGCAGGCTTCGGAAGGGCGGCTTCTGGGAGGCTGCCGCGGGGCATCAGAGAATCTGTCCAGAAGCGCCCCACAGGTATCCAAAGGCTGCTGCTGGCCCAAGAGGGCCTCCGGATGGACCCCAACCCCGCTTCACGACACGCCCAAGAGACTACCCAACAAGTGGGCCCCAAGACAGAGCATGATGATCAGGAGGAGGAGGAGGAGGAGGAGGAGGACATCCAAAGAGAGCCCTTAGACGACCCGACAGGGCCCCAAGACGGTCTTGGAAGGCCCCACGGGACCCACAAGTCTGCCCCGCATGAGCCCAGGACAGCCTCAAGAGAGCACCAATACGACCCAATAAAACCTTCAGAACCCCCCCAAAAACGTCAACATCTCACATGTTACGTCATTCCTCTTCCTCCGACGCCTCCGCATCAATATCATCATCATTCCTCTGATCATCCTACTCCGCAAGAGCGCGGGTTTGCAGCGACCCGCTCAAGACAACCTTCAGACGGCCGAAGCGTCGCAAGTGACGGCCGGCTGGGCGTTGCTCCAAGGGTCACCATACATAGGATGAGGCAGGAGGAGGAGGAGGAGAAACAAGAGATGAAGCAGGAGGACGCGACGAGAAGGAAACGAGGGGACTGGACGAGGCCGACGCCGAGGGCGAGAAGAGACACATCAACACGATGTTGGAGAGCGTGTCACATAATACGACTTTCCCAAGCCTCGAGACACGAGGTGTCACACGCTACAGCATCTTGCGCGCCCCCCCGAACAGTCGCCGCCCTGAGTGCTTGGCTGGCATGTTGGCGGGGCTTGCCGCATCGGTCATCAGCTGTGCATGCAGAAACTTACATGTGCAACTGGGAACGTATATGGCTAACCCGCTACAGAGAAGAGGATACCACAAACAGCCCCCCTTCCCCCGCCCCCCTTTCACATTAAGGATTGTGCTGTAGGTATTTGTGCTACATACACACACGCAACATTCCCCTGCATCGTGCGGACAGACATACTAACTGAAATCGTGGTACGGCGCCTGCACATGACAACAACTCGGGTGGGGGGTCAACCCAAGGTGGGCCGACAACATCCAAAGCCCTCGTGCACAAAACAGAGGTGGGACAACGCCAGCAACTCTGAAGCACTCGACGCTTTACAAACACAATCCCGCCTCTGCCAAGAACGGTCACAACGACCAGAACTAGGGGGAGAACAAATCTACCTCGCTTCTGACCACCCTCGCTTCCAAGAGAGACCAAACGATGCCAAACTGCGGCCTGTACTGGTCAGGCCGCTTGACGAGGAGGCGCGTGGTATGACTTGGTTTTGCCTGGAAGCGAAAGCGGGGTAGGTAATTCACGCTCTGAAGAACACAGTGCGAGAGAAGCGAGGCCTTGACCCCCTGGAGCATGGCCAACCCGAACTTCGGGACGCCCGGCAGACTGCTGGGCACCGGCGGCGCCAGCGCCTTCCCGCACGGCCTCGCGGCTTCCAGAGCAGGTGCTGTGGGCCGCTGGATATTTTTCAAGACGAGACGAGGAAAGGGCGCTGACAAGTGCTTCGGCGCGGCAAGTTCCGCTACAGTCGGGGCGTTGACCTAAGGAACCCTAAATAAGGAACGAGGCCCCTTTTTTTCCATTCGTTAAACTTCGATTTCCTGTCGAAAACCTAAGGAAAACCTAAGGCAAACTGCGAAACAATTAAGGAACACGGAGAGGGATGGCGCAATTTTACCAGGGCCCAGCTGGGCGCCCGGACGCCCGGACAGACGCCCGGGCGCCCGGGCGCAAGTCCGGACGCCCAGACCACAGACGCCCTGGGCGCCCGGCAGGCCACGCCCAGGAAACGCCCGGACGTGGGTGCTAGCGCCCAGGGCGCCCTGGCGCCCGGACGCCCGGACGCCCAGACGCACGGGCGCCCCGGCGCGCGGACGCCCGGGCGCCCGGACGCGCGCGCATGCGCCCAGGCGCCCGGACGCCCGGACGCCCGGACGCCCAGGCGCAGCGCCCAGACGCCCGGACGCCCGGGCGCCCGGGCGCCCGGACGCCCGGACGCCGGAGCGCCCGGACTCCGCGGGCGTCCGGACGCGCGAACCGCCCAAACGCCCGGGCACCCGGCCGGGCGCCCGGACGCGCCCAGACGCGCCCAGATGCCCGCGCGCCTGAAGCGCCCAGACGCCCATGCGCCCAGGCGCGCGGGCGCCAGAAGCGCCCGGAACGCCCGCGCCCGGACGCACAGACGCCCGGACGCCCGGGCGCCCGGGTGCCCAGACGCCTGGGCACCTGGGCGCCTGGGCGCCTGGACGCGCGAACCGCCCGCGCGCCCGGGCACCCGGGCGCCCGGGCGCCCGGAAGCCCGGGCGCCTGAACGCCCGGGCGCCTGAAACGCCAAGACGCGCGGGCGCCAGGACGCCCGGACGCCCGGACGTCCGGACGCCCGGGAGCCCGGGTGCCGGGGCGCCCGGATGCGGGGGCGCCCGCACGCCCCGGCGCTTGAAGCGCCCAGACGCCCGGACGCCTGGGCGCCCAGGCGCCTGGACGCCCAGACACGCCCAGACACGCCCAGACGTCCGGGCGCCCGGGCGCCCGGACGCCCGGGCGCCCGACGGGCCAGGCCCGGGCACGCATGGAAGCCCTGGGCGCCCAATCGCCTGGACACCCGGGCGCCCAGACACCCGGGCGCTCGGCGGGCCACGCCCAGGAAACGCCCGGACGCCCCGGGCGCCCGAGAAACGATCGGGCGCCTGAATCGCCCAGACGCCCGTGCGCCTGAAGCGCCTAGACGCTCGGGCGCCCGAGCGCCCGGGCGCCTGGACGCGCGGGCGCCCGGGCGCCCGGGCGCCAGAAAGCGCCCGGAACGCCCGCGCCCCCGCGCCTGGGCGCCCGAGCGCGCGGGAAACGCTCGGACGCTGGGAGAGGGCGCCCGCGCCAGGACGCCGGAAGCGCCCGGGCGCCCGGGCGCCCAGACGCCCGGGCGCCTGGGCGCCCAGCGCCCGGACGCCCGGACACGCCCGGACACGCCCGGACGCCCGGACGCCCGGGCGCCTGGCGAGCCAGGCCCAGGCGCCAGAAGCGCCCAGGGCGCCCGCGACCGGACGCGCGGACGCCCGGGAAACGCCCGGACGCTGGGAGCGCCCAGGGCGCCCGCGCCCAAACGCCGGGCGCCCAGAGCGCCCAGACGCCCCGGCGCCTGCACCCGCGGACGCCGGGGCGCCTGGAGGACCAGACGCCCGCGGACGCCAGGAGCGCAAGGTGCCTGCGCCTGGACGCCGGGACGCCCAGGCGCCAAGGCCCTGTCGCCGCGCGCGCCGCGCCCCCTCGCCCCCCGTCGCCCTTTCGCCCCTCCCCGCGCTGGCTCGAACGGGCTGGAGCCAAAAACAAAGAAAAAAAATCCCGGCAAAGCAACCGAACAGCGATGTGTAGGAGCATATCTGGAAGCATTTCCCTTAAGATTCAGATGAGAATCCAGATGTAGAATTCTGCTGTTCTCGCAGTCATAGTCGCATTCGCGATGGCAGTCGCAATGGCAAAGGCAGTCGCAGTCACAGCCTAAGCCTCGGCCTGCCTCAGCCTCCGCCTCAGCCTGCCTCAGCCTCAGCCTGCCTCAGCCTCAGCCTCAGCCTGCTTCAGCCTCAGCCTCAGTCTGCCTTCAGCCTCGGCCTCAGCCTCAGCCTGCCTCAGCCTCAGCCTGCATCAGCCTCAGCCTCAGCCTCAGCCTGCCTCAGCATCAGCCTGCCTCAGCCTCAGCCTCAGCCTGCCTCAGCCTCAGCCTCAGCCTGCTTCAGCCTCAGCCTCAGTCTGCCTTCAGCCTCGGCCTCAGCCTCAGCCTGCCTCAGCCTCAGCCTGCATCAGCCTCAGCCTCAGCCTCAGCCTGCCTCAGCCTCAGCCTGCCTCAGCCTCAGCCTCAGCCTGCCTCAGCCTCAGCCTCAGCCTGCTTCAGCCTCAGCCTCAGTCTGCCTTCAGCCTCGGCCTCAGCCTCAGCCTGCCTCAGCCTCAGCCTGCATCAGCCTCAGCCTCAGCCTCAGCCTGCCTCAGCATCAGCCTGCCTCAGCCTCAGCCTCAGCCTGCCTCAGCCTCAGCCTCAGCCTGCTTCAGCCTCAGCCTCAGTCTGCCTTCAGCCTCGGCCTCAGCCTCAGCCTGCCTCAGCCTCAGCCTGCATCAGCCTCAGCCTCAGCCTCAGCCTGCCTCAGCATCAGCCTCAGCCTCAGCCTCAGCCTCAGCCTCAGCCTGCCTCAGCCTCAGCCTCAGCCTGCTTCAGCCTCAGCCTCAGTCTGCCTTCAGCCTCGGCCTCAGCCTCAGCCTGCCTCAGCCTCAGCCTGCATCAGCCTCAGCCTCAGCCTCAGCCTGCCTCAGCATCAGCCTGCCTCAGCCTCAGCCTCAGCCTGCCTCAGCCTCAGCCTCAGCCTGCTTCAGCCTCAGCCTCAGTCTGCCTTCAGCCTCGGCCTCAGCCTCAGCCTGCCTCAGCCTCAGCCCTCAGCCTCAGCCTCAGCCTCAGCCTCAGCCTCAGCCTGCCTCAGCCTCAGCCTCAGCCTGCCTCAGCCTCAGCTGCTGCTCAGCCTCAGCCTCAGCCTCAGCCTCAGCCAGCCTTCAGCCTCAGCCTCAGCCTCAGCCTCAGCCTCAGCCTCAGCCTCAGCCTCAGCAGCCTCAGCCTCAGCCTCAGCCTCAGCCTCAGCCTCAGCCTCAGCCTCAGCCTCAGCCTCAGCCTCAGCCTCAGCCTGCCTCAGCCTCAGCCTGCCTCAGCCTCAGCCTGCCTCAGCCTCAGCCTCAGCCTCTGCCTCAGCCTCAGCCTCAGCCTCAGCCTCAGCCTCAGCCTGCTTCAGCCTCAGCCTCAGTCTGCCTTCAGCCTCGGCCTCAGCCTCAGCCTGCCTCAGCCTCGGCCTGCCTCAGCCTCAGCATCAGCCTGCCTCAGCATTCAAAACGTGGCCCGGGAATGGAAGCTCTGGGCATTCAAAATGATGCCCAGGAATGGAGTTCTGGGAACTCGAAGACCACGAAGTGGCCTACAGTTGGTTCCGGGCATTCAAAATCATGCCTTGGAATGGAGTTCTGGGAACTCGAAGACCACGAAGTGGCATACAGTTGGCTCCGGGCATTCAAAATCATGCCCAGGAATGGAGTTCTGGGAACTCGAAGAGCACGAAGTGGCCTACAGTTGGCTCCGGGCATTCAAAATCATGCCCAGGAATGGAGTTCTGGGAACTCGAAGACCACGAAGTGCGTTACAGTTGGCTAAAAAAAGAGTCCCCCGATTTCCCCGGTTTCCCGGGGCACCCTGTCCGGATCCCGCCCAGACCCCCCTCGGGAGTCATGATGCTCTCTTTTGACACTACTAGAAACCTATCAGTCTTCGCTGTTAGGTAAGGGGGCTTTGTACCACCTCCAACGAGTGGTGTGAGCCATCCTCTCGGGGCACGTTTGCATCCCGGGCTGCGG